GGGGGTGGGGGGTTGTTACTTTGTGAGGGTGAAAAGGGTAACTATTGCATTGTTCTGTACACCTGAAACTAACAATAAATAAATTAAAAAAAAAAATGTAAGACTGTGGCTAGGAGGGATTTCAACAGTATCACTCACTGTTAGCACAAGTCATGTAGAAACCAAAATGTCTACACACGCCTCTCCCTCGATTCAACTATTTGACTAAAAAAGACTCCTGGCCTTTCTCAACTTCTCATTCCAGTTTTCCCAGAGGACTAGGTGGTGTCTGTGGAAGCCCCAGTTCTAGAGACACATGAGAGGTTCCAGGCCCAAGAATTTGATTATTTTTAAAGTCATTTAATCAGTTTAAATTCTTTGGCTATAAGATGGCAAAAGATTGAGCTTTTTTCTTTCTTTTTCAATAGAGGCCCAGTCTTAAAGGACTTGAATTAAAATATCAGGGTAATTAAAGGTTAAATTTAGAAGTTGATTATAATATAAAAAAAAGTTACATGAGACAACCTGAGTCCATCAAACCAGTGTCAGAGGGGCTTCAGTGAATGAAAATCAAGGCAGAAAAGAGTCTTGATTTCTCTGCTTCTCTATAGCAAGTCCCACTAAATTGTGCATAATTTCGAGTTTAAATAAATAAAAAATGGTGGCTAGAGCCCAAACAATGAACATTGCAAACAAGTAGTAAACCAAGTATTTATAAGTATCCATTTTGTGCAAAGTTCTGAGCTAGGTACTGTTGGATGCACAAAGCAGTGTAAGAAAATTTTGCTCTGGAGGAACTTACCCTGGGGTTGGAAAGATGCAAATGTGAAAACAGAACTGGCAGTGTGGTCAATATCAAGCAAGTGGCAGAAACTACGTTATGGGACTTAGTGTGGCAGACATGCTTCTCTGTGCAGAAGGGTCATGCAAAGCTTCGAGAGGAAAAGAGGAACTTGAGTTTTAAGAGCATAGAGGAGGATAAAGCCATTCTAGAAACCAGGCATATCATATAGAAAGGTTATAAATAAGCTTTAAATAAGCAATCAATGAGGTTAAAAATATAAAAATGTGGATAAAAGGTAAGTGAGAAAAAGTACAGAGTTGAAAATATGTGTAATGATTTCTTGTTCATGGTGTAAAGTCAGCAGTCGTGTGGTGTATTGAACAGAAGCACGGGACTGAGAGCGTGAGGACCTGGCTCTACCGCCATTTTTATCATGACATTCTCAACAAGGAGCTTCTAATTGAGCAGAATTTAATTGCTCCCTGAAGTGGATTAGCACTAAAATTTGAGGCAATTCTCTTAAACTCTGTGGACTTCAATGTGAAACAACGACATTGGACGAGCGTTTTCCTAAAGCCCATTCAGGTCTTATATTGTATATGTTATACATATGTATACATTATGTATACATATATGGATATATATATATATATATATATGTGTGTGTGTGTGTGTGTGTGTGTGTATATATATATATATATCTCAAATTGGGTAATATATATTTTCGCCATTTCACTGAAGGATAATTAAAAAAATAATGTGGAAGCTAACAAATTCTTTTATAAAAGTAAAATGAATGAAAAGGATTATTAACATGTTCTCTATCTCTGCTTTCCTTTCCTTAGGTTTTTCCCAATGGATTCTCTAACAAAATCAATCAACCAATTTGCCCTGGAATTTAGCAAAAAGCTAGCTGAATCTGCTGAGGGTAAAAACATTTTTTTTTCTCCCTGGGGCATCTCAACCTCCTTGGCCATGGTGTATTTGGGCACTAAAGGTACCACTGCAGCCCAAATAGCCCAGGTGAGTGAAAACGCTCAGTCATCCTCTGTTGCCTTAAAACGAAATCCTTTCTTTGCCCTTTGTTTTAATTTTTTTTCCTCATGAAATCCACACAGCTCACATTTTATAACCATTTCCTCCAAAACAAAAGGTACACCTTATTTTTTTAGACCATAAAAAGAAGCCTGGAAACTAAATCAAGTTGTAAACTGTTGCTAGAAAATCAATTTAAGAACTGTGTTCTCTAGCCAATCATATGAAGAGATGATGAGGTTATCAAATTTAGTTCAACACCAAAAACAATTTTATTTTAATTACTAAAATATTTCAAGAAGTAATAGCTTGAACATTAAA